TTATTTATTATTCAATTATTTTATGTAATATTTTTTTCCTTTATTTCATTTAATTTATTTTTATCACTCACTCTTTTTGTGCCGCTTCCTTGGATATGAGTCCACGATTTAGTCCACGATTTTGCAGATCGCCGAATGCGGCGCGCTTTGTGTTTGCCTCGTTTGAAGGCACTGTCAATTTCTTCACTTGGACTTGATTGTATTTCTCCGTTGCATTCTGCAAGCATAGAAATCATTTGCAAGAGGTCAATGCTTGGGCGGCCATTTTGTAAAAGGGCGAGATGCTCAGAGAGTTGAAGGTAAAAGTAGCGGTACTAGAGTACCGCAACATTACTAACAGCAAGTACCGAAAAAAGCGCCAAACGCAAATACCGCTGCACCAGCAACAACAACAACAGCAATGCTAGCCAAACGGCATTTTTACCCCTCTCTTATGCGCTAAGCGCCGACGCTGCAATGGCGGCGGTGGCGGCAGCGACTGCGACGCTGCTTAACGCAGTCTGCTAAAATTCCAGATTAAAAATGCTAATAACTATTGCTTACCTCGTCCATGATCATTTTAGGCGCTGTGCTCATCATTTTGTTGCTGTTTTTTTCTTTTTACTTATTTATTGACGAAAATGCTTTAATTTAGGGGTTCTTTTGTACTTGAGCGCGTTGATTTCGTTTCTTTTATTGAACGCAAAAATATATTGTTGAAATTTTTGATATTATTTGTTTTGTAGCCTGTTTTCGATTGCACAATTTTAATCTAACATGTATGTATATATTTCAACGATTGCTACTTTAATTCGAAAATATAAATTCTTTAACTTTTTTGGAGTCTTCCGAGCTCTGCGCAAGATGCGAACGCAAGCCGCTGCCGTTTGGATTTGAAATGCACGCCAGGTAATGGAAATAATGTGACCAGCTGGTATTAGGCGCAAAACGTGCGCCACATAAATGTGACCAGCTGTGGGCCGTACATGAAAAGCAACGCTGTAGCATTAAGCTTTTGTCAGCCGACAGAAAGTGCTGCCCAACAGCTACTATTTAATATATAGCCGTTGAATTTGAATGCATTGTTAATTTTAATAGGCTCTTTTAGAGTTTTTCTTCGTCAGTTGTTGATTTAGTGACGTTATTGTTTTTATTTTTTTCTTCTGTTCCTCGTGAGTGATTGCATCAATTAAATGCTGATCACTTCAATCGGCTGGCATCTTGCAAAGGTTCTTTCGGCTTACAATTTAGCACTTGTTGCATTTGCATTGCTGATTTAAGATTTCCTTCAACAAGCACAACGGAAATGCAGCATAATTCTTACTTTGTTCTTTTTTTCTCTACTCCACTGTGATGATCAGTGTCAAGTTTTCGTCTGGCCACAAAAAAAAGAGTGAAAAAAACAGCAATTGGCGTTCTCTGCACTTGCTACGATTCTTTTTTTGCTGTTAATTTTTCGGCTGCTTTGCTTAACGGTGCCATTCTCTATTGTTCCTTTCCGTCCGTTCGCTCCACTCATTAGCATATAGCTTCATCTTCAAAACTTCAGAGCGCTCGAGCGAGAGGGAGAGCGAGAGAGAGAGAGCGTGCATATAAATTTCTGTGCCGTTCGCGGCATGAATAAAGTTTTCCGCACTCGTGAGTTTTTCGTCATTCGCGAATGTTTCGTTGCCGTGAAAACATCTTTTTTCCCGTTCGGCAGATGATCGCGCGCGCCTCGCTGTAATTCTTCTTTAGCTCAACCATAAAAATAGAAGAAGAAGAAAAAGTKTTCAAAAATCAATTGGGCTGACCTCCAGCTGAGCTAACTAAAGCCGTGTTTTAGTTTCAGCTTTGATTTATCCAAAAAGTCTGTTAAAAGTGTAATAAAAATCATAAATTGTGCTAGCCAAACGTTCTGCTTGAGAGCAGCTGCTGCTGTGTTTTCGTGTGTGTTTGATGCTCAAATAAAACTAAATGAATCTATAAAATAAAAAAAGAGCTATAAAAATAAATCCAACATTTATTTAAATAAAGAAATTTTTAATTGCCTTTTGTGGCTGTTTATGATTTGAAGTGCGTTCAGCTTTTGTTATCGTTATCGGCTGTGTAAAGCAAACAGGAAGTGCGAGGCGCTTTCAATCTGAAGTGCGGCCACCAAAATAAACTCAAATTATTTGCCAATGTTATCTGTTATCATATTGGTATAGCAATCAGGAAGTGCCAAGCAACTGAAGTCTGTCAAGTGTGACCTTGCTGAGGAATTTATTTAAAAACCCAAAGGACTTAAGCAAAGAACTTGCAAGGCGCCGGAGCACTTTAGTATGACCAAACTTAAAGTTTAATTAAATCTACAATTGATTAGCGTCTGTTGTCCTTAACAGAATGGCGCAGCGACATACACAGGCTACACAAGATGCTTTAACTCTGTTAAGCTACGATCTCCGTGCCTCTGTTATCCTTAACAGAACTCCAAACAGGCCAAGCTTCTGTTAAGTGGGATATCCCGTTCGCCTGTTATCCTTAACATTTTTCGACAGCAATCAGCTGTTGCAAGGCACGCCATTTCTTAGTGTGACCGTATCGAAGCTCTTTCGAACTCTTCAAATATTCTCGCTGATGTCCTTAACATATCAAGCGTCAGCTAGCGCATTTCGCACTTTATTCTGAAGTGTTACCAAATTGAAATTCCCTGGAATAACCCGTTTTGTCTGCTATCGTTATCATATTACCACAGCTATCGGCTAACGCACTAGCAATTGAAATTCTATTCAATCTAACGTCATCGAAAGCCACAAACGACTTAAGCAACAAACTTGCATTTGACTGCTCAATTTACGAAAGTAGACTAAAAACCAAAGTACAGCAAAGCAAACAGCTGCAGCAACAACAACGAACATTAGCAATTAATTAGTGCATAAAAAAGTTAAATTAACTACCGCAAAAGCCTGGCTGCGTGCATTCACTTTTCTCTCTCTCTCTGCCCCGCTGCTTCTGCTTCTCCTTCTATAGCTGCAATCCACGAAATTTAGGCGAAAAAAAAACCCAAAAAGTATTATTATTATTTATGTTATATTTCTTCTTTCCAGTGCAGAAAATGTAACAAAATAAAGGAAAAATACAAAAAAAAAAAACCTAAAAATGATGACGCAAATACGCAGTTTAAATTAGCTTGCGCAGCAGAATAACAAAATAAAGCAAACAAATCCAACAAAATTTTACTACATCAATTTTGCAACAAATGCAATTTGTGAACATCAAATGTAAATAGTATATTACAAGCTGCTTAATTGTTGTCGACTTGAATAAACGCGTCGTTATGTCTACAATTGCGGCTAATCAGCCAATTAATCGTTATCGTCATCGTCATCATCATCGGCATCGTTATCGTTTGTGTCTAATTGTCTTGGCAGCAGCTTTATGGCTGGACACTTGGGCAGCACTGGCCTCTGCCGCCGTCAACGCCAACGCCGTTCACATTGAGCTGCGGCGCAGTCGCAGCGTTCGCTTCAATGGCATTGAGGTAATTATGGTCGCGATTCGAATTGCATATTTCTAATTGATTCATGTCATTTGTCACTCGCCGTTCGTCATTCGTCCTCATATCGTATCACATTTAACCCACTAACCAATCAGGTGATTCTTGTCTGTGTCACATCGAGTGCTGACCATGCAAATGCTGCAAGAGAATACTGAAGCGTGATTCATTAAGAATTGCCTGCATATGCACTCTATACGGCCGGGGCCGGGGCCGGGGCGCGTGTTGGTGGGCGTGGCTGTGTAACAATTTTTGGAACAAGTGCAGTTGAAATGTGAAGCGTTTAATGACCTCTGCTCAGAGTTGGGAATATTTGCAGAAATGTTTGAGTAGGGTATATAGGTTTGTAGGCAGAGCATGTAACGGGCTGAAAAAGAGTTTTCCTATAGGGTATATGGGTAGAATATTATGTATAATTTGTATGCTTGTATGAATTTTATGATAACTGAACTCATTTATATTTATTTATTTTTTTTAACTCAAAGACTTTAAGAGGTAGACCTATAAAGCTTGATATGAATGCTTATTCATTTTATAAAATAAAATTTTTTTTTTTTTTTTTTTTTATATAACTCTACCTATTATCATAATATATGAGAGTCACTAACTCGATATGTTACATACTGGGTATTTCCTAGTCAGTCTCACACTCCTCATTGCGCTCGCTCGCAGCTGGTCTCTTAATAAAAATTGCACACACTTAACACCAAGAAATAAAAACTGTAAACTTTTGTCGAACAAGTCAAATTACACGATTTGATGAGCGTTCTCAGCGTTGAGATTTTCAGTCAGCGACAGAAAAATTTGTATTTCGGGTTGCCCAGAAGGCGTCCAACCGTCTCTAACAAGTCGAATGAGCTATTTTGCAGCTGACGATTTGACAATTTGACTATGACGAGGGTCGATTGAGGTGTTTATCAACTAAGTAATGTATTTTATTAGCTGGGAATACGCTTAGTTAAATATGATCAAAGGCCTAAGTTCGAATTATGTTGATATTCCATGTGTTTTATATGTTATAATGTCGTATACTATAATACGTATAATACGTATAATACGTTATACGACATATAACATATTACATTTATTGTATAAAATAATATATAACATATAACATTTAAAAATATGTGATATATATAATATATGATATATTATTAAGTGTTATATGTTGTACATGATGTGACATATGGTAAGTGGTATAAGTTAACTTATATGCCCTCTATTCGAACAACTGTTCTGCTGTTATATATCAACTGTTATATAGTACTATATGCCATCTATTATGTTTATCTCATATCTGTTTATATCATATCCCATAAATGGCATCATACTCTTCACCCCACCCTCGTACACTTCTCGTCGGAATGCATCGCACGATTTGTCTGAAACATCCAACAAAATACAGCAAAACATACAAAACAAAAAATCCTCTGCGTCAGCATTCCGAGGGGGGCGCGCTGCACAATAAGTGTGGCGCGACTTTTGTCAGCTGCTAAATTTTATAGATGAGCGCGTGGCAAGAGCTTTTCTTAGCCAAGTTATTGACCCAACTGAAAATTAGTTGCGAATASACAAGTCGAGTCGAGTCGCCATCGCCGTCGCAGTTGAAGAACCCTCAAGTCTTCGACGTCGACTTCACATGCTCCTCCGCTCCTGCCTTGCCCTCGCCTAGTTGCCGTCGATTTTCTGTGACTTAATTTCAGCTCTTTGTCGTACATTTTCTTTCTTGTTTATTTTACAATTTTGCCTCTCTTTATTTGTGCTTTTTTACTTGTTTTTTCTTCTTTTTTTTGCCATCCACGGGTCACGCAAAATTTCATCACATAATCAGCCAGCGGGCGATTACAGCGTTCAGCATCGAGTGCGAATCCGAATGGCAATTCGAGCTAGAGCTGGAGCTGGAGCTGGAGTTCGAGTACTCGACTCGACTCTAAATGTTGTTGCAGCCAATTTCCACTTCCATTTCCACGCTTTATTTTTGTTGTTGTTCTTCTCTACTCGTCTCTTTTTTTTCTGCTTTCCGGTATGGATGGTCGGGTCTTTTATGCTGTTGCCCTTGCCGTCAATTAGTGTCGTTTTATTGAACATTGTTTGAATGCACTCAAACACAAAGCTAATGAGTGGATGAGTGGTTGAGTGAATGCCTGAATGACAGCTCTTCCATGTGAGTGCAGGCGCATGGCTATCGATTGTCTTACAGAAAGTTATCGGAGATACTTTATTATCGATATAGGTATATATTTATACCTTTAATAGAATATAATAATACTTGTAAAAATCTGCAGTAACACGATTTGCTATCGTTGATCGATAACAACAAATTCTAAAGATAGGCAACAGAAAAAGTAATACTACATATTCTAAATGTTATCGGTATA